GCGGGACTCGATCCAGGGACTCCAGGATCATGACCTGAGCCGAAGGGAGTCGCTTAACCAACTGAGTCACCCAGGCGCCCCATAGTTCTTTAGTTTTTAAAAACACTTTGTCCTATTCCGAAAACAAGTAGCCAAGGAGATCCACTATCTGGCTTTGTGGAACTTTTATTTATGTATATAAGTATGTATGTATGTATGTATGTATGTATTTATTTTTAAGTAAGCTCCATGCCAAATGTGGGGCCTGAACTCACGACCCCGAGATCAAGAATCACATGCTCTACCGACTAAGCCAGCCAGGGGCCCCAACTCTGTGGAACTTCTAAATCCTAAAATCCAAGTATTTTCAAAGGTTGGTTTCTGGCAGTGTGAATACATAGCTGGAGGATAAGAGAGGAGCCAGCACTACAATTTCTTCCAAAGGCTCTCTGGTGCATAGTGCATACCTCATTTCTCGAAGACGCTTCACATGGTGAATGCACTTCTCTACTGTGTAGTCCACTTCCTCCTCTGTAGTGAAACGGCCAATGCCAAATCTGAAAAAAGGCACAAGAGAAGAGCTCTGCATCTGAACTCTGGCACCAGGGTAAATCCATTCAGCAAATACTCAATGAGGATCTATTCCACAAAAGACACGGAAAGAACATAGCCAGAGTTTCTCAGAACATCGGTCTGTGGATCACCCACAATAGCGTCACCAGAGAAGTTTCTTATACCTCCTCCAGTCCTAGTGAATCAAAATCTCTGAGTGTGGGACTCAGAAATCTTCACAAACTTCCCAAGTGATACTCGACGAAGTCTGAGAACCACTGCTCTAGAAACTTTCAAGAAGCAAGAAGGGATAAGGAAAACAAGTCTGAGGAGACTATAATAGGAGATGAATAATACAAAAGAGGATGCTTTTCATAAATGTTGCAGCTCAACTGACTGACCTGATAGAAGAGTGAGCTAAATCCTCATCAGTGCCAATTGCTCGAAGGACATAAGAGGGCTCCAGGGATGCAGAGGTGCAGGCACTGAGGAGAAAGATAAGGACCTTGTTCACTTTATCATCGACATCTGCTTTTAGTCACAAACCCCCAGTCTTTTTTATTTTTTTTAAAGATTTTATTTATCAGTTTGAGAGAGAGAAAATGAGAGACAGAGAGCATGAGAGGGAGGAGGGTCAGAGGGAGAAGCAGACTCCCGGCTGAGTAGGGAGCCCAATGCAGGACTCAATCCCGGGACTCCAGGATTATGACCTGAGCCGAAGGCAGTCGCTTAACCAACTGAGCCACCCAGGCGCCCCCACAAACCCCTAGTCTTGCTCCCACCCCCAGGTCCCTGAAGTCATTACATGGAGATAAAAGAGACATTCTAATCTGGGAGAACTAAAGGGCCCAATGCTGCCTGCATTTTCTGGAATGTGAACCTAGCTCCTCTGGCCCTTATGGAGGATATCCTTCTTGGGCAAGGACATTACCAAAGTATGAAAGAACATGATACCACATGAGCTGCGTCTGACAACCAGGAGCAGCAGAGAACCAAGTGCTCACTCCCCTACAATTGAACACACCATCAGTACCAGCCTAGATGGCAGCTAAACCTTTGGTGGCCTTTGGAGCATCCTTCAATTCTGGAGGTCTGCAACAGAACAGCTAGTATAACACTAGAACAGATGCACGCATCTCCTGGGGCCACAAAAGGCACAAAATTCTACCCCAGGAAGGCTTCTTAAGGTGGCAAACTTCAGCCAGTGCCAAGCCAGCTAAAAAATCAGCACTTACAAAATGACCTTTACACTTAACCAAGAGCTCTTGTGCCTGTCATCTCCACACTAAGAAGCTTAATAATCTGTTACGCCACTTAGGGGCCAGGCTAATGAGCCCTATCATAGTTCCTGTCTATCCAGTCCAACTCACCTCCCTGAGGATAAGGCGACATCCTTGAGTGCCATCAGCAGACTCTCCCCTTCCACATATGCAAAGGAGAGGTTGATACAGCCTGGAGAGAGAATCACTGTAAGAGGAGGTTCAAAGTCTTAGGCTCTTCCAGAATGGGGATAGAAAGGGCATGTCCATACCTGGGTAATGGTGCTCAGGGTCCCCATTCATCACCACATCCGGAAGGCTCTTCATTATCTTCTGTGTCAGCCGCTCTGCTAACTTTGAGATCCACTTATGGTCGTACTGAGGAGCAGGCAAGGGAGGACTAAGCATAGTGACTGACCATTAACAGCTCAGAAACATACAAGATGAGGAATCCTTTTCCTGTGCTCAGAAGTGACTGTGCATCAGGCCCACCTATCATCCTGTGTTACTCATGGAGACCACTGTATGCCCAGTACTGAGTACAGCACCTGGCACGCAAAGGTGCTCAATAACTGGACACATGGTAAAAATGAAGGGGGGGAAATTGGAGGGGGAGACGAACCATGAGAGACTATGGACTCTGAGAAACAAACTGAGGGTTTTAGAGGGGAGGGGGTGGGGGGATGGGTTAGCCCGGTGTGGGTATTAAGGAGGGCACGTATTGTAAGGAGTACTGGGTGTTAAACGCAAACAATGAATCATGGAACACTACATCAAAAACTAACGAAGTAGTGTATGGTGACTAACATAATAAAATTAAATTAAATTAAAAAAAATAAAAATAACTGGACACATGGTTCCAATAAGCTAGAAATAAATGAGCCAATAACTACTGAAAGGACCTGGATTTTGGAGCCCATAACACCTCCCTCAGAACAAGATGCCAGCAGCACTGGGACAAGGATGGGTTTCCTAACCCTCCTCTTCTAGCAGAGGTCTGACTCAGTTGTGCTGAGAAGCCTCAATAGGAGACCCGAACAGGGGAAGAAGTTGCAGAAGGGAATTGCCCTCCCCATACCTCCATCTCTTGCTGTGCCACCTCACATGCGGCCCCCAGCCCCACCACCAAGGGTGTGGGCACTGTCCCAGACCGCATACCCCGCTCCTGCCCCCCTCCACTCTGCAGGGCCTCCACACGCACACGGGGCCGGCGGCGAATGTAGATGGCACCAACCCCTGGGAAACAAAGTTTGTTACAAAAGAGAAAAAAAATGCAGATGAAATAAAGTATCACTTTCAAAAGGGGTCAAAATATTCTTTCAACTTTTCTGTAAGCTTGAAATTCTTCAAAATAAAAAAAAATGGAGGAAAAGGAGAAACAGCAGTAAAAGCATAATATTTAGAAAAATTACTGGGGTGCCTGGGTGGCTCAGTCGTTAAGCGTCTGCCTTCAGCTCAGGTCATGATCCCGGCGTCCTGGAATCGAGCCCCGCATCAGACTCCCTGCTCAGTGGGATGCCTGCTTCTCCCTCTCCCTCTCCCCCTGCTTGTATTCCCTCTCTCGCTGTGTCTCTGTCAAATAAATAAATAAAATCTTAAAAAAAAAAAAAATTTAACATCAGGAAGGTAAGTACTAGGAGTAATAACCGAATGGTTTAAACTAGCTCCCTATGCACATCTGAAATGACATCATGCAATGTATCATTAATTCATAAGAGCAAAATATCAGAAACAACTCAGATATTCATCATCAGGGGAATGGGCAAATAAATTATGATATAGTCCACACAATGAAATACAAAGCTGGTGTATAAAAGAGGAAGCTCCTTCTGTACTGTCACTATAAAATTTCCAAGATACACTGTTAGAAAACGGGTGAAATCTGAATAAAGTTTGTACTTTACTTAAAAAAAAAAATTATTAGGTGAAGAAAGGAAGATGCAGAACAATGAGTATACTATGCTATTTTTTTAGTAAAAACATAGGGGTAGGAGGAGAAATATATATGTGCTTGTAAACATATAGAATAATTCTAGAAAAATATTCAAAAAACAGCCTCCCCAGAGGAGAACTACATTAATGGTAGAAAGATGTGAGAGAATTTCCGGCCTTGTACTTTTTTGTAGCTTTTGAATTTGGAACCATGTAAATATATTACCTTGTCTAAACAGAATAAATTTTTTTTTAAAGATTTACTTATTCATTTGAGAGAGAGAGAGCAAATGGAAGAGGCAGAGGGAGAAGGAGAAGCAGACTCCCCACTGAGCAGGGAGCCCGACATGGGGCTCGATCCCAGGACCCTGAGATCATGACCCGAGCTGACGGCAGACGCTTAACCGACTGAGTCACCCAGGCACCCCCAGAATAAATTTTTTTTTAAATGGGCGGGTGACTGGCTGGTTTAGTCAGTGGAAAATGTGACTCTCGATCTCGGGGTTATAAATTCAAGCCACACGTTGCGTGTAGAGATTATGTAAAAATAAAATCTTAAAAAAAAAAACCAAAAATCTTTGGGGGAAAAAACAGAAAGATCAGAGTGGAATTAATTAGCACACTCTCCCAAAGTGTATCAAAGCTTAAAAATGTATGTAACTTAAGGGGCGCCTAAGTGGCTCAGTCGGATGAGTGTCTGACATTTGGTTTCAGCTTGGGTCATGGTCTCGGGGTTGTGGGACTGAGCTCCATGTCAGACTCTGCACTCAGCAAGGAGTCTGCTGGAGATTATCTCCCTCTCCTTCTGTTCCTCCCCCTGCTTGTGCACACTCTCTCACTCTCTCTCTTTCTTTCAAATAAATATAAATAAAATCTTTTTTTCCCCAAGATTTTATTTGTTTATTTGACAGAGAGCGACACAGCGAAAGAGGGAACACAAGCAGGGGGAGCGGGAGAGGGAGAGGCAGGCTTCCCGTGGAGCAGGGAGCCTGATGCAGGGCTCGATCCCAGGACCCTGGGATCATGACCTGAGCTGAAGGCAGACGCTTAAGGACTGAGCCACCCAGGCGCCCCAATAAAATCTTTTTTTAAAAAAATGTATATAACTTAAGACTTGGCAAACCAACTTATAGGAATTTCATGCCAAAATATGACCATGAATGTGCAAAGATAGTCACAAAGTAGTCACAGGTTTTAAACAGAGTGGCCACTTGGTGAAGTTCATCTTCTTCCATCTGCAACTAAGAAGTTGCAGAACAACTTCTTAGGCGGAGACTGTAGGTACTATCTACTAAAACTAAGGCAGTACTCCCCAAATTTATTACAAAGGACCCCAGTTTTGAAATAATTTATGTAACAAACTACACTTAATTAAGAAATATTTCATTTCCTCATCAGATTCAAGTATCCTCACCATGTGAATCTCTGCAGTTCCCAAGTTCAGAGAGCACATGCTCTGACCCCACATCTGGATAGTGAAAGATACCATGTTATCTAAATCCACTGAAATCCTGATTTCAGAAAGCAGGAGTTTGGATAGTGAGAGATACCTATACACATGTAAATGCTGATCAGAGCTTCTGCTCAATTGGTTTTGTCAAAATACGTATTCCCATAATAAAAGCCAATAAAGGCAACATATTGATCAAAGATAGAATGCCTATCGTGTTTTTTATAATAAAAGCTCACAGAAACACTTGATAACCTCTGGGAACCTTGAGAAGAAGCCATCTTATATATTTCCAGCAGCTATCACAGCTTTTTCCTCAGGGTGTATACCCCAATGACATACCCTATGAACATAGAAAGTGTACCAGCATTACCAACCCCCACAGGCCCTCACCCCAGAGACAGAGGAATTTTATGGCTACCTCCATAAAATAGAAAACAAGATTGGAGTGAAAAGAATTCTAGCTAAGAAACAATCCTGGGCCAAAGAGGACCATAGGGAACAGATAAGTATCCTTGAGAGACTAACAGGAACACATTAAATATAGACATAAACACCAAGAGATGTAAAAGCCCAGTCTTCCCCTAGGCTACAGAAAGACACAGGGAATGGAGGACTCAAAGCACATTGCTCTGAATATCATAGTGGGGCAGACAAGATAGCTGGCCTTATCTAGTTAAATTTGATATGATAAAACCCTTTGTTCCTCAACCAAATTAACCTTCACTTGCTTTCTAAGGATTTTCTTTTTTTTTTTTTTTAAGATTTTATTTATTCATTTGAAAGAGAGACACAGCAAGAGAAGGAATACAAGCAGGGGGAGTGGGAGAGTAAGAAGTAGGCTGGGATCATGACCTGAGCCGAAGGCAGCCACGTAACGACTGAGCCACTCAGGCGCCCCTCTAAGGATTTTCTAAAGATACCATGGAACAATGGACTACTATATACAGTTAACTGCAAGAGTCTACAAATAGGCAAGTGTTCTTGGTTATTGCTAAAGGACACTTGCATTCTGCAAGACACTATGATTGTACAACTTCCTCTGAGAGCAACAATAGTCCCAAATAAGTTCAAGAAACACCTATCAAGGAGTTTACTGCGAGGTCTGAGAGAAGAAACTCCAGGAGAGGCTGGTACCTTTGGGACCATAGATTTTATGACCACTGATGCTCATGAGATCAATTTTCATGTCATTGACGTCAAGTGGGATTTTTCCAACAGCCTGGGCTGCATCAGTATGGAAATATACCTTTCTGGAACTGCAAATCCGCCCTGAGGAAACAACAGAAGGGAAGAATCATAGCACAATGCTGGGAAGTCACCTGGCAGTGACCCAACAACATACCATGAGTTCTAAGGCAAAACTGCATCTGGCATTAGCCTTTAGCCATACAGTAAATAACTTCTCACTCTCTTTCTTCCTTCTCTCTTCCTCCCACTCTCTCTGTCATTCTCAGCTAGTTTCCTTCACTAGAAAAATTAAGGGCAAGTACACATCACCAAATCAAAACATCCCTGATATTCTGATGTGTAAGACTCTTCTTACCTTGTTAACACGGGCCTTTCCATATATCAGACCAACTTTTATATCCTTCTTAATTTAAAGGAAGCAAAGATTAGCAGGGCTATTTGCTAATGTGCCTTAGGAGTTACAGGGTGAGTCTTGGGCTCTAAGTGAGCATAATAAAGAGATGTACTAAAGTGACAAAGGTGAAAGAGGAAGAGAAAAAAGGGCGGTGTTTTGTTTTGGGCAGCAACTGCAGTTAAATGAAAAGAACAGAAAGAATACTAGACCTGGATTCAAATACTGCTATGCCATACACAATAGGTCTTTGAACAAGGAACTAAAACTCCCTTTCCCTTGATCTCCCTCCTAGACCACTCTTGCTCCTCATATGGACCCCAGTGGTGGGCAAGCATCAAGGTCTACCCATGGTACTCACCTATTTCCGCAATGGGCTGCTTCACTCCAATCTCATTGTTCACAGTCATGACTGAGACCAGGCTGGTATCTGGCTGGATGGCAGCCTCTAGTTCCTAAGAGTATCAGGAGCAAGGAGACTATATAGTACCAACAAAGTCCTACCTAACTCAGAATGTGGGCAAGCTTAGTCTTGGAAAGGGGCCTTTCACCACCCACTTATCAGTATGGTTAAAATAAAAATAGTGACAACACAAAATACTGGCAAGGATTCAGAGAAACCGCATCATTCACACACTTGGTTATTACTACTAGTAGGAACGTAAAATGGCATAGCCATGCTGGAAAAGTTTGGCAGTTTTTGTCTCTTGCTAAACTAAACATGAAATTACCATATGGCCCAGTAATTGCACTGTTGGGCATTTATCTCAGAGAAATGAAAACAGATTCACACAAAAAACCTATACATAAATGTTCATAGCAGCTTTTGTCAGAACAGCCAAAACCTAGAACCAACCCAGAGGTCGTGCAACAGGTGAACGGTTAAACTGTGGTACTTCTACCACATGGACTACGACTCAGCAACAGAAAGAACAAACTACTGAGACATGTTAACAACCTAAATGACTTGCCAAAGACTTATGCTAAGTGAAAAAAGCTAGTCCCTCAAGGTTACATACTTTATGATTCCATTTATATAACATTATTGAAATGACAAAATTAAAGAAATGGAGTTCAAATTAGTATTGTTTTGTTTTTGTTTTCTTTAAGATTTTATTTATTTATTTTTTGACAGAGAGAGACACAGCGAGAGAGGGAACACAAGCAGGGGGAGTGTGTGAGAGGGAGAAGCAGGCTTCCCGCTGAGCAGGGAGCCCAATGCAGGGCTCGATCCCAGAACCCTGGGCAGACACTTAACTGACTGAGCCACCCAGGCACCCCAAAATTAGTGGTTTTAAAAGAACATGAAGCATCACTGTGGTGATAAAACTAATTTGATGGTGGTGGTAGTTACACAAACCTACGTGTGATGAGTGAGTAGAGGTAAAACTGGGGAAATGAGAATAAGATTGGCAGACTGTGTCGATGTCAATACCCTGGTTGTGCTATTGTATTATACTTTTTCAAGATATTACCATGGGGGACAATGGGTAAAGGGTACATGAGATCTTCTGTACTATTTCTCACAACCACATGTGAATCTACAATTATTTAAAAATTAAAAGTTTAATAAAAAAAGAGAGAGAGAACCTTTCCTACATAAGGTTGTCAGAGTAAGCTACAAACAACAAAGTAAGTAGCAAAAAACAAGGTTATTGGTGACGACACTGAGGTAGGGACCTCATTGGACTAAAATGTTTCTCATAATGGAATTATTAATCAGCCTCCCAACATCTTGCTTTCCCGGACACTGGTCTACTAGAGGGGCTCAATGTCATATTTCTCTCAGCTTCTTGTTTGCTTCCTTCATAGCATTTATTCCAATTTGTAACTACTTCATTTATATGTTTGTTTATATGTTAACTGTCCCCTTTACTAGAATGTAAGCTCCCTGAAGGCAGGGACTAAGCTTGTCTTGTTCATCCCGCTATCCCTAGTGCCAAGCTCTATGGAATAATAAATACTATAAGGCGAAAGAAAAGCAAATGTTAAGTATTATGAGAAATAAAAAGCCAGAAAATACATGCTCCTAATATTCAAGAGACTTAACCTAGTGGAGAGATAGACATAAACATATAACAGAGCACAGCAGTAAAAAACAATAGGAATTTAAGGAATTTAGAGAAAAAAGATATTAATAGGGGTTGGGGCAGCCAAAATGATTTCACCAAAGAGCTGAACTTGAGCTAAGTGGTTAAGAGGGAGAGAATGGGCGCCTGGGTGGCTCAGTTGGTTAAGCGACTGCCTTCGGCTCAGGTCATGATCCTGGAGTCCCGGGATCGAGTCCTGCATCAGGCTCCCTGCT